AACAACTTAATTGAAAAAATGCATATATATATTGAGATGGAGTCTCGCTCTTTCACTCAGGATGGAGTGTGGTGGCACCATTTCGGCTCACTGCAACCTCTGCCTCCCCGATTCAAAATATTCCCCTTCCTCAGCCAACCAAGTAGCTGAGATTATAGGCGTCCACCACCACTCTCAGGCTAATGGTTTTTTTTTTTTTTTTTTTCGTTGTTTGTTTGTTTTGAGTTGGAGTTTCGCTATTGTTGCTCAGGCTGGAGTGCAATGGTGAGATCTCGGCTCACCGCAACCTTTGCCTCTAGGGTTCAAGTGATTCTCCTGCCTCAGCCTTCGAGTAGCTGTGATTACAGACATGCGCCACCACAGCAGGCTAATTTTGTACTTTTAGCAAAGATGGAGTTAAACCATGTTGGACAGGCTGGTCTCAAACTCCTGACCTCAGGTGATCTGCCTGTCTCGGCCCACCAAAATGCTGGGATTACAGGTGTGAGCCACTGCGCCAGGCCTAATAAAATAGTATTTACTTAAACATTGCATGTCCATTAAGAGAGTGATTCTTAGAGTGATTCTTAAATAATTAGACACACAAACATTTCAGGTAGTGATGTGTTTTTCATTCTGGCTAATGTGTTAGGACCTCCAGATATTGGCTAATTTATTTGGTGATGCCTCTGTCTTGTTTTTCAGTCTATGAACCACATTTGAAAGGTTTTAGCTTTTGCTTAGACAGTTAAGAGGCAGAAAACATATTTTGATTTAATTCCTAAATATGTTTTACATTTTCTCCTAAGCATGAATGCACAGTTTTCTAAGGCTAGGATTCTGGAGGGCTTAGTTTCAGATGGTCCTTTGTGCTCTGAGGATGACAAAGAAATATTGGCTTGAACTTTATAAAAAAAATTAATTAAGGATTAGTGTGCGCTTTTTCATAATCCTGCATTCTTTAGTCAATGTAACTTAAGTGCAAATACTGCCCAATGTGTATGGGCGCTGATATTACTAAACAAACAGACACTAACTCATAACACTCTACTAGACTTAGAAATAAATATCTCATAAAATGTTTATCAAAAAGTTAATACATCACAACAAAATAAAATGACAATATGACTCTGTAGACTTTTCCACAAATACCATGAATAAATAATGTTCATGTTTCAATAAGCTATGGAGTTAGTTTAAAAATAATGAATTTAATTAAAAGAGCTATACCTGATGCCATATAATCTTGTATACATGCAGCTTTGGATGTACATCAAATAAATTTTAAATCCATATGTATGAATACAAGTTAAAAATGTATATATGCACAAGCACATACATACACAAACACATTCTAGAGAGAATAACAATTCTCTAAACTCATTATTCATCCAGTACTTCTTATATAGCATTTGCTTAAAAGAAGTTTCACTTACAAAATTAATGAGATCATATTAAATCAATTTTTATTTGTTCACCTTGAACAAAGCAGATGACCTTGTTGAGTCTTGAGGTTTTATCTCCACCTTACATAAAAATAGTTAGATTTTATGTCAAACAATCTTTTAACTAAAAATTACTAAATAACAAAATAAATATTTTATTTTCATTATATTTAAATATGAACTCTAAACTCATATTTTATTTATATTTTAGAAAGTAATATAATTAAATATCAGGTTATATTCTCATATTTAATTGAATATGTTGATTTAGAACTATAAATTTTTTTAAGAATGAAGGCATTTTGAATTAATACAAGAAGAGAAACTACATACCAATATTATTTTTAAAAGCTCATATTAATTTTAGTACCAGTAGTGTAGTATTTTATGGTTTCAATACCTATTTCAGTGCTGTGTTGAAAAGTCCAACTGTCTAAACTATCTAACATGCTTTATTCATACATACAAACATGTCACATTAAGACATGTACCACACATGTAATTTTAAAACACACAATTAAAATACATCAGTAAAAAACCCTCCCCAAATATTTATGGCTTTTTAAAATACCAAGAAAAATTTGTAAATTAAAGCATCAGTCAGAACTCTATTAGAAATGTAACTTATGGATTTGGAAACACAGTTTTCCTATCTAGTCATTAAATCTGGTGTCCATGGAAACTATTGTGCTTTGATATCAAAGATACGCTATTTATTCATATAGTATGCACGATCAAAAATAATTTAATCATACCCTTACCTACATATCAGTTTTCTCTGCATACACCCAAAATTACATAATGTCTTCTTCATATTTGAAGAAACTTGAAGAAAGTAAAAGTTTCTTTAAAGTTTTAACTATGCATGCATCATGGATTTTATGTTCTCTGTCATAAAACTCACTTCTCACACAAAGATCCTCCACATTTTTATATATTTATCTTTCTGTCACCTAAAATTTGCAACTAATACTACATGTTTTGAATTCATTACCTTTTTACCTTACTTCTAAAATCATTATCAAGGAAGATATAGGCTAATCTTTTTTCTGGTTTATGAAGAAACTCATTAGACATACCCAACCACACATATATTATATGATATAATTCTTCTTGTAATTATTACCGGAAATAAAGGCTGTCATCATTTTACTATATAAGTATTAAATTAATGCTTATTACTGTCTATTGTTTAAAAGGTAGATAAATGTCAGTAAATTTTGTGATTAAATGTTAATGCCCCACTAAAAACAACAATCCACATTATACATAATGACATAGAATATATACTAATTATTTAAACTATATTAATTTCCTTGGTCCTAACTAGATTTAGCATACCTGAGTTATAAAATTTGCATAATGTTTAATTTTCACACCAAAAATATTTTGATCAATAAACTGATAACAGTAAAAAGAAAAATCCATCCAATGAGTCTATCACATTCAGGTAAGATGATATGGTCAAACTAAAGGCAAATAAGAAGAAACATGCTAAATGTATTAGTTCATTTTCACACTGCTGAAAAAGACAACCTGAGACTGATCAATTTACAAAGGAAAGAGGTTTAATTGGACTTAAGAGTACCAAGTGGCTGGGGAGGCCTCACAATCATGGTGGAAGGCAAGGAGGAGCAAGGCACGTCTTACTTGATGGCTGCAGGCAAAGAGAGGAGCCCTTGTGCAGGGAAACTCCCATTTTTAAAACTCTCAGACCCCATGAGACTCATCTGCTATTATAAGAACAGCCAGAGAAAGACCTGGCTTCATTATTAAATTATCTCCCATCAGTTCCTCCACCAACAAATGAAAATTATGGGAGCTACACGGTGAGATTTGGGTGGGTACACAAAGCCAAAACATATCATGTATTAACTGTAAAATATATTAAATATTGTCTGGGTATGCAATACTATATTTATTTTTTCTCCGTGTTAGTATGCCTATTTAAGATTTTACTCAGAAGGAATAGATGTATTTTTTTATGGGAGGAATATCTAGCAAATTCTACAATAACTAAATATGCTGAATGATCCAACCTATGGTACACATGGGAAGAATAAAAAAACAAAAATGAATCATTTAAATTAGAAAACTGGTATTAAAAAAAAACACAATGTTTTTAAAAATATATAATGGTGGGAGGAGAGAACTGTGAATCAGGAAACTTAATCACTTATGCTTTAGTTGGGACGAGTGCTCTGGCAAATAGTAATTAGTGTTACTCTTTGTGTATGACTAAAGAAACTTATGATGGAAGGCAGTATATTGTATTTTGTCTTTAACTTTGATGAAACAAGAATCCATTTATTAGAGCCTGCACTCATTTTTGGTATAAATATACATGAAGAACATGAATGGCATTTTTGCAAATTCCAAAATGATTTGGTGAAACAGAAATATAATGTTTACATATTGGAGATTTAAAAAAACCTTGCCACAGTGATAAAGAACTCTCAGGATTTGGCTCAAATTTCCCCAAAATGCAATTCACAATGTTAATATACTTACATAATTATTTTTAAATTTGTCATATCAAACATATGAATTTTATTTGTAGAAAGTACACATTTCATACTTTATTCTTACAAATATAAAAAAATAGAAAATTGTAGTAAAATATATTTTCCACCTTTATTGAGGTACCTTGACAAATAAAAATTGTATATATTTAAAGTGTATCTAGTACAGACAATGAGATATTCTGATATATGTATATATTGTGAAATTATTGCCATGAACTAATTAACATATTCATGACTTCACATAATGATTTTTTTGTGTGTGATGAGAATATTTAAGTTCAACTCTGTTAACAAATTTCAAGTATACAATACAGTATTACTAACTGTATATAGTCATAATATATATGATATATATAATGCATATAATCATGGTATATATTAGATCCCAAAACTCATTTATTCTGCATTATTGGATATTTGTACTCTTTCACCAACATCTTCCCATTTTCCTCACCCTCCTCCTGCTAACTACCATTCTACTATCTGCTCTTATGAGTTCAACATTTTTAGATTTCACATATAAGTGAGATCATGCAGTATTTGTCTTTCTGTGTCTAGCTTATTTCACTTAGCATAATGCCTTCTACATTTATCTATGTTGTTGCAAATGGCAAGATGTTCTTCTCTTTAATGGTGAATAACATTTCTTTATTTATATATAAATACTATATATATCACATTTGCTTTATACCTTCAACTGATAGACACTTTGCTTCTATCTTAGTTATTGTGAATAATGCTTCAATAAACATGGGGTGCCCATACCTCTTTGAAATAATCATTTTATTTCCTTTGGACACAAACAGAAGTGTAATTGCTGGATCATATGGTAAATCTATATTTAATTTTTGTAGAGACCTCTATACTGTTTTTCATAATGATCATGCAAGTTATACTCCTTTCAAGAGTGTACAAGCATTCTCTTTTTCTCTACACCCTCACCAACAAGTATCGTTCATCATTTTGGTAATAACTATTCTGACAGGTGTGAGGTAATATCTAATTGTGGTTTTAATTTGCATTTCCCTGATGATTAATTATATTAGGTACTTTTTCATATACCTGTTGGCCATTTATATGTCTTCTTTTGAGAAATGTCTCTTCAAGTTCTTAGCCCAGTTTTAAATCAGGTTTGCTATGAGCTGAATATGTGTGTACCCCTCAAATTCATATGTTAAAATCCTAACCTCCAAGGGGATGGTATTAGCAGGTGGGACCTTTAGGAGGTAATAAGGTCCTGAGAGTAAATCTCTTATGAATGAGATTCATGCCCTTAAAAATAGCCTCCAGAGAACTTCATTATTCCTTCTGCCATGTGAGGACAAAAGGAAATGACAGCCCCACACCAGACACTGAATTTGTCAGAGTCTTGATCTTGCACTTCTCAGTCTCTGGAATGGTGAGAAGTACATTTCTGTTGTTTTTAAGCCACTCAATCTATAGTATTTTGTTATAGAAGACTGAATGGACTGAGATGGGATTTATTTATTTATTTATGCTATTGAGTTTTTTTAGTTCCTTACAGATTTTGGAAATTAATACTTTATCAGATACATGGTTTGCAAGTATGTTCTCTCTTTTCATGGGTTGACTTTTTACTCCGTTGATTTTTTTCCTTAGCTTTTTGATTTGATGAAATCTCATACCTATTTTTTATTTTGTTGTCTGCGTTTTTGGGATCATATCAAAAAAAGAAAGAATCACTGCCAAGACTACTGTCAAAAGACCCTTCATTATGTTTTGTTCTGGTAGTGTTATGGTTTCAGATCTTAGTTTTTAAGCCTTTAATCCATGTTGAGTGGTTTTTATATGTGGGGCAAGATAAGGCTCCAATTTCATTCTACTGCAATGTGGATCCCAGCACCATTGAGACTATCTTTTCCACATGGTGTGTTCTTGACACACATATTGAAGAGTCATTGAGCATAATACATAGATTCATTTCCAGGCTCTCTGTTCTGTTCCAGAAGACTATGTCTGTTTTAATTTTAGTACCATATTATTTGGATTACTGCAGCTATATTTTTAAATCAGGAAGTGTCATGCCTCCAGGTTTGATCATTGTTAAAAACTGTCCAAATGTAAAATTTAACAATAGTAGACATACTTTCTCACACCTGTAATCTCAGCACTTTGGGAGGCAGAGGAGGGTGGATTATGAGGTCAGAAGACTGTGACTCATCCTGGCAAACATGGTGAAACCCCATCTGTACTAAAATACAAAAAATTAGCTGGGCATGGTGGCGCACACCTGTAGTCCCAGCTACTTGGGAGGCTTAGGCAGAAGAATCACTTGAATCTGGGAAGCGGAGATTGCAGTGAGCCAAGATCCCATCACTGCACTCCAACCTGGAGACAGAAAAGGTGCTGTCTCAAAACAAACAAACAAACAAACAAACAAAAACAAAGAAATAAACAAAAAAAAACCCCAGTATTTTCCTTTTTTAAAGTAAAAAAGATATTGAGGTTTGAGTTTTAGGTTTCTTAAAATTCATGTCATGCAAAATTATAAAAAGCTATGCAATTTTGAATTTCATTTTAAAAATGTGTTTATCACATTCTCAAATACCATGCAAAGGTAGTGAATTTATCTCTCCAGAAAAACTATGGATTGTCACATCCTTAACAGAAGTTGGTAAACAGTTGTCTGAAGAGTCTGTCTCAGAAGCTGGAACTCTTATTCTAATCATAGTGTATCAACTTCGGATTTTCTGGGTCATGTTTTATAATGTCAATGAAAGACACGTGGCATGATTCTGCAGAGAAATATGTCAGTCAGATATTCTTAAAGTTTTTGGAAGCAAAGTCAAGCTAATCAGTCAAGAAATTAAAAAACGTTCAGGCCATGCAATCCCACCCTTGAAAATATATTTCACAAAACTAAAAAGACCAGTAAGTATTGGTGTATTGCATTGATTTCCTATTGCTGCCTTAACAAGTTACCAGAAATTTAGAAGCTTAAAGCAACACACATTTATTACCTTATAGTACTATTGATTGAAAGTCTCAAAGGGGTCTTACTGGGTTAAAATAAATAAATTTTGGCATGACCTACATACCCTTTTGGAGGCTCTAGGGAAGAATCAATTTCTCTACTTTTCTAAGTCCTATTCGCCTTTCAGATTCCCTGGCTTGTAACCTCATACCTGCTATTCAAAGCCAGCCACATTGCATCTATCTGTTTCTTTCTTCCATAGTCACATCTCCTTCAAACCCTTTCTATCTGCTCCTCTTTCTACTTTTAAGAATCCTTGTGATTACACTGGGCCCATGTGGCTAATTGAGCTGCTTAGCAACCTTAATTTCATCTGCAAAATTATTTTGCCACATAAGGTAACATATTCACAGGTTCTAGGGATTGTTGAAACTTTAATGTGGATATCTTCATACGTAAATATAAATAAATAAATAAATAAATAAATAAATAAATTCACACAGTGGAATGCAATAAGAAATAATAAAATCATGTCTTGTCAAGCCCATTATATTAAGTGAAACAACTCAGAAACATGAAGTCAAATACCACATGTTCTCAGTTATAAGTAGAAGCTACAATGTGTACACATGGACATACAGTATATAATAATAGACCCTGGGGACTTGGAAGGGTGAAAGAGTAGGAGGGAGATGGGTGATAAATTACTAAATAGGTGTAATGTACGTTACTCCAACGATGGTTACACTGAAAGCCCAGACTCACCACTATGGAATATATCCATGTAATAAAACAGCATTTTCTCCCCTTAAATTTATTTTTTAAAAGCTCTAGAAAACTTAGAGCAATGTCAATTTTCAATATAAGATTATGTGTGAATGATTTATAGTATGTTCACAATATGGAGCACTATGTAGCTTTTACAAATAATTAATTATAAATATAGCATAAAGTGCATGGTTTTCCAAAAAGCATTATTGCATAAAATGAAAATAAGATGTATGGGGGTAATGTGAAAGCATACACATTTGTAAAAACATATATATATACACACACATATTTGTAATCAATAAACATTTATATATATATAAATCTTTCTCCGCTCATTATTATCTATTTATCCATCTATCTATCTCTATGTATATGTACACAAACACACACAAAATATCGTAAGTACAATGAAGACAATACTAGCTTGATGACATGAGTTACCTGGTTATAGGGAGTGAGGCTTTGAGTAAGAGAAGGGCACACAGGAATTAAAAGGGAGAGAATGTAAGAAATGCAAGTTTCTCTCCCTAAAATAGGAAATAGTATTAATTATATAATTACATAATTATCTACAGTCATGTATTCAAAAATTTGTTTCTGATGGGAAATATGTCCTAGATGTATAGACTATTGAGAAGAGCAGTGTACTTGAGGAAAAATAATCATGGCCTTAATCTTTGTTTCTTCTACTTTATAGCCATGTAATACAAAGCAAGTTCTCATTCTCTTGTCACATATTACAATTGACAGAAAGTTCTTTGATATGCATTGAAGGTGTCTATTTCCCCTTCTCTTGAATCCAGGCTGGCAAGTGACCACTTTGACTAATAAAGCACAATGAAAGCCATACTCTACTCTGGATAAGCACTAGAACTTCTGCTGTGGCTTTTTTAGAAGGCAGCTACCAAATGAGAAGTGTTACCACCTGAGACCACCATGTAGTGAGAAGCCCAAGCTACATGGAAATGTTCTGAGAAATGAAGTGTCATGTGGTGGAAAAGAGAGGCAAAAAGCAGAATAAAGAGGTTACTTATATGTATATATTGGGAAAGTTTTTTAAGCTTTCTGTGCCTCAGCTCTTAAAGCTATCAAACGAAGATAATAACAGTGCCTCCCTAGTATGGTTATTACAAGGGTTAAATTAGTTAATATCTACAACACTTAGAGTAGTATTTTACACATGTTAAGTCCTATATGTCTTATGCTACTATTTTTCCATCTGTAAAATGAATATTGACATTATAAATTTAAAAATTTTATTTAACCATTATTAATCACTACTCATTGATAGAGCAGTTACTATGTGTCCAACACACAGGGTCATCTAGTGCAGACAAAATAGTGAATAAGATGGGTCAAGACATTCCCTTAGAGATTCTAATTTAATATGGTAAAGACAAGAAAATAAACTTGTATAATTAGATTTCTTTCTATTTAAGCACTTTCTTCAGGAAGACTTTGCTAAGCAACCTATGCCAAAACATACATTAAATATTTTTCCTTTGGATTTCCAAATCACACAGAAATTACGTCATCTTAGCACTTAATGCAATGTTCTGCCAGAACTTAGTACATTACTATGTTGATAACTCCATCTCCAAATACTCTAATGAATTTACACTTACGTCCTAGGGCAAAGAAGCAAGGGATGGGTTACTTAGGCTTTCTGTTTAAACTTTAGAGTGAACTCCTCTCTTTTTCCCTTGGCTCAGTTGTCCTTGGAACCAGCTTCAGCTGCCATTTCTTGACATCATGGTAATTGTAATTCAAAAGCCAAGGTCAAGAGACAGACATGCCTCATCTCACTCCAGTGCTTTCCCTTCTGCCTAGATTCTTCAAGTACCAGAAGCAATAAAATCTGGTCATGAAAGTAAAAGGTCAAGAAACAACAGATGTTGGCAAGATTGCAGAGAAAAGACAATACTTACACACTGAGTATAGCCTCTATGAAAAATATTGTAGTGATTTCTCAAAGAGTTAAAAGTAGAAATATCATTCAATCCAGCAACCCCACTATTAGGTATCTACCAAATGAAAAAGAAGTCATTGTTTTTAAAAAGACACCTGCATTCGTATGTTTATTACAGCACTATTCACAATAGCAAAGTTATGAAATCAACAAAAGTCTCCAAACACAGATGATTGGATAAAAATATATGGTATCTATACACTATGGAATAATAATTTTTTAAAATCACTGTTCATTATAATCCTGAGTAGCTGGGATTACAGGCACCCACCAGAAAGCCCAGCTAATTTTTGTATTTTTAGTACAGATGGAGTTTTGCCATATTGGCCAGGCTGGTCTCAAACTCCTGACCTCATGTGATCCACTCACCTCAGCCTCCCAAATTGAAAAATTTTTAATAGTTAAAATTTAATAGTTATTTTACATCTGCTATCCACTACAGCACACTGATATAATTAAATATTTTATTATTTTTATTTGGCTGTCCAAAGGAATGGTTCTCAGCATTTAGAAACAGCAAGTCCCAGTTTTATTTTATCACTGTTTATTGTTCCATGGTGTATAGATACCACATTTTCTATATCAATCATCTGTAGATGAATACTATGGTTGATTTCATGACTTTGCTATTTTGTATAGTGCTGTAATAAACATACACATGCAAGTGTCTTTTTGAAATAATGGCAAGATGAAATCCTGTCTCTTGCAGCAACACAGATGGAGCTACAGGCCATTATCATAAGTAAAATAACTCAGAAACAGAAAATCAAACATTGCAGTAGAATTATTAAGTAGAAGCTAAACAACAGGTACACATGGGGAGTACAGAGGGAAATAATAGATACTTGGGATACCAAAAGTTGGGGACATGGGAGGGAGATGAGGATTGAAAAGTACCTATTGGGTACAATTTTTATTATTCAGGTAATGGCTTCACTAGGAGTTCAAACCCTTCCACTGCACAATGTATCCATGTAACAAACCTGAACATGCACTCTTTGAATTTATAGACATTAAAAAATAAATATTAAGGGTTTTGACTCATTTTGCATAATAGGTACAGCTGGTATCCAAATCTCCTGTTTCCCAGATAGATGTCACCATGATGTAAAAATAAATGGAAAACAATTAAATTTATCAAAAATTTCAAGCTGCCAATCACATATTTGAGCTTCTCACCTTCCCCAGAGAATCTCAGTTCAACTTCCTGAAATGAGAATTTATGTTTGACAACTTCTTGTCACTTTTTTATTCTCCACCTCCATGTCTGTACCATTTGTGTTTACTTTTGTCACCTTCTTTCCCTTGGGTGCTTCTGGAGAAGGATTTTACATCATTCTTTGGCAAGGCTAAAATGATCACTTGTGATTTTTATTCATTATATTTTCCCACTCAGAGAACATTTATCTATGCTTTTAATCTATCTTGATATTTCTATCTCTACTATCTTATAAATTTTAGCTCCAAATACATTTATGTCTTCCTAGTTCTAAAAACCTTTCATGAAGATAACTTATCTTTAAGCTCTGACAGAACTTGAAAACTTGCAATTTCTGCATCATCAACTTCAATTCCTAAGCCCACCACAATATGACTTCTGTACTCATAAGTATACTAAATAGATATTGATTAAAGCAACCAATACACATTTTCACGTCAAACCTAATGGTCTTTACTATTACAAAATCAAACGTTTTGTTCTGTGAAGACGACGATTCTTTTTCTCCTTTTCTTATTTAATATGTTCACTATTACTGTTCTATTTCATTGGGAATTCTGGGAATATACATTTTTATGTATTTCTATCTATAATCCCTCTGCTTTATTAAGCTTCCTCACCATCCAGGTTACAGCTTATGTTCACAATTGTGATGTCACTCCCCAAATTCTCAATTTCCTTGTGCCTTGCTTTTTCATTATCCAGTCTGTGATTGTATTGACATAGCCAAGGGCAGCTGGAAAAATTTCCCATATAAGGGTAAATTGTTATCAGTATGCATTTATGATTCACAATCTAAAATAAACCCTTATCCCTGAATATCTGAATCATTTTCATCTCTTTTCAAATGCAGTATTGCCATTATACGACATCAAAACAAAACTCCTTAACAATGCAACTAACTTCCCAATCTATCTCCTTCTACATCAGTGTTTTATTACTTTCCTTTTATAATAGTAAAGAAAATGCTGCTTCCTCTCTATCCCTAATTTTCTTCACGTCCATTCTCAATAAAATTGAATAATCAATTATTATTTCATTATTCTCTATATTCAATCTCTTTTTAATGGAATCTCTAAATCCTTTCCAAAAACATTTGATAATTTTGAAGTCCTTCTTATCTCTAAAAAAAGGAAAGAAGAAGGTCATTATATCACATATTTCACTTCAGCTACTGCTCAGTTTCTCTGCAGACTTTCAGAGCCAACTACACAAAATAGAATCAATAGTCAGTGAAGCCCTTCTCCTTCTACAAACAATCCTCAACTCATTCAAAACTGCCATCCTCGTATGGAACACATCTTTTCCTGTGGTCTACCGTGAATCTGTTTTCTTCATCTCATTCTGTAATTTAGTCTTATCTCACTTGAACTCTTAGCAATATTTGACAATGTTGAGCCCCTGCTTCTTTCTGAAACATGATCTTTCCTTAGTTTCCATGACTACACTCTCACTGGAATTTCTCCCACCCATTTGACAGATCTATTTAAATCTCATCATTTATTCTGACATTAAACATTGGGGATATCACAACAGCAAGTCCCAGGTCCTTATGTCTCCATACGCCCTCTCATTAATTCTATTTTCTCACTTATATAACTAGTCCCAATGTTGTATATGCACCAATGACATCCAGATTTATATCTCCAACTTTCAACTCTTTTCTAAAGTTCTTGAACAATATGCCCAACTCGCTACTTGATATTTTTATCTAGATGTTCCAAATAAAACAGCAAATCAAACATGTATCAAACAACCTCATATTGCTTATCCAATAGAATTCTCTCTTTTTATCTGTCTCAGCAAATGACATACCAAAGACCCAGTTATTTAAAAAAGAAAACTAAAAATTATCATGGTTTCCATAATGCTGAGTTTTTATATTAAATTTATCAAAAGGTCATATCTATTTTATTTCCAAATATCTCCCAAGCTCAAGTAGTCTTTTTCGATTTCTAGTACCTTAATGTAATTAAATATCTCTCACCTAGAATACTTCAATTCCTTGCTACCCATCATTCATTTCTCTAACCAGCTCCTTCAATATAGACTCAAGTCACAAGGAAAGAAGTCTTTTCAGAATTCCAGTTTGATATTATCAAAATAATTCTGACTTGAAGACTTCAATTTTGTTTCAGATGAATATCAAAATACTTAACACAAACGTCAATGCTCTGTGACGAGGCTGCTGGTTACAAATACGAAGCTTATTCTCAGGTACGCCTTTCCATTTTGGTCCAATAGACTGTTTCCAGTTTCTTAAAGGAACTAAGCTTTCTGCTACCACCAAGCTTTGCACATGTTGTTTTGGTCTGAAATAAAAATTCCTCCTTTTTCCATCTATACAGCTCTTTCTCATCTATGCAATTTCAGCTCAATAATTTACTTCTTGAGGATCTTTGTCCTGAAATCCTAAACTAGAAATAATTTAGTGTTATGTATTTTCATAGCAGTATATATTTTTTCTCCATAAAGTTTTATAAAATAATTTATCTGTATTTGTATTTATAACTTTATTGAAAATCATAATTCAGAACCCTGTCTTTTGTGCTCAACATTAAAAACCTAGTGCCTGCTATAGTGTCCGGCAGGTTCTAGTTAGAGAATAAATAATTTTTGTACAATTTAATTTAGTAGCAAAACATAAATATCTAAGTTTCTGATTTATAGGGATAATGTTCATAATACATAAGATAAATTGATTAGTATGCTTTAAAATGTATGATTTGCAACAGAGATGATAAATGATAGAGAATTACTGCCATTGTGTCTAGAACATTCCTGCTAAACTTAATTAATATCTATTATTCCACCTCAGTATTATTCAAAATAATAAACACACAAGATACAAAATTAAAATAAATTTTAAAAAAAGAACTTGCAATTTTTTTTGTTTGAGATGGTGTCTCACTCTCTCACCTAGGCTGGAGTTCAGTGGTGCCATTTCATCTCACTGCAAACTTTGCCTCCCAGGTTCAAGCGATTCTCCTGCCTCAGCCTCTCGAGTAGCTGGGATTACAGTCACCCATCACCAGGCCCTGCTAAATTTTTATTACTAGTAGAGATGGGGTTTCACCATTTTGGCCAGGCTGCTGTCAAACTCCTGACCTCACATGATCCACTCACCTCGGGCTTCCAAATAGAAAAATTTTTAATAGTTATTTTATATCTGCTATCCACTACAATACACTGATAGAATTAAATATTTCATTTTCTTATTGTCTGTCAAAAAGGGTTGTTCTGAGCATGTAGGAGATTCTCTCCAGTTTTTGCACAGAGTTCTCTCATCTTTAAGTCTAGCAATATCATATCCAATTCTTAAATCCTTCTTATGGTTGAATCTTTCCAGTTTTCTCCCCCTGCTGCCTCTTGAAGAACATTCTGCTTATAAAGGGCTCATGTGATTACCTTAGGTTTACACAGATAATCTGTCAAACCAAAAACTTAGTAACATTAATTATATTGGAAAAATCCCTTTACAGTAGTACTTTCTTTAACGTTTTAATAACCAAAAGCCAGGGATCTTAGGTGACCATCTTGGAGTTCTGCTTACCACAAATATTATACCTATTATTTCAATTTTATTTTTAGTTTAAGTTAATGGACATGTGAGCACAGAAATCTGTGCCTGGGAAACAATGTTGAATTGATCAGAATGTAAAGTAGACATAGGTATTCCTAATATGTAAACCTAAATAACTTAATGATTTTTCTTCACTGAATTCCTTAGAAGAATTCATTTTCTGAATAAAATAATTACTTATGCTATGAAAATATCTTAAATACATTAATGCCATTAAGTACCATGCATCTTAGAGAATAAATTGATCATTGTTCATAATCAAGGTTATCCAAAGCTCTGAATAGTTAGAATCAATGAATGAATATTTTTTGGGCTTCATGTATTTTCTAAATGTGAACTCGCAACTTTAAGAGAAGAAAATGAAAATATTGATTAAATAATTTTGGCAAAATTTCAGAATTTATTATTTAGTACTGACATCTTTTTAAACATCTTAGTTGTTGGATTCATGCTATATTGCAATATAGCATGTGAAGCTTGGATTTCACCAGGAAAGTTACATAAGAATTCATGTAATTCTAGCACACTCAATTCAACAGCGCATTAAAAAGATCTGTGTCATGTCAAGAGGGATTTACTCCAGGGATGCAAGGATAGTTTCACATACACAAATCTATAAATGTGATATACTGCATTAACAGAATACTGGATATCAATGTGCAAAAAATGTAGTTGGATGCATGTCTCACACCATATAAAAAAATCAAGTCAAAATGAATTAAAGATTTACTTAAAGACTTAAGTATAACCCTGCTACAACAAGCTCTCTCCTCACACCTGTCAGAATGGCTATTATCAAACAAATGAAAGATAACACGTCAGGGAGGACATGGAGAAAAAACCCACTTTTGGAGTGGTTGTAAACTAGCACAACCATTATGAAAAACTTAAATAGAATTTTCTTTAAAAAACTTAATTAGGTATCATTTTTCTACTCAGACCCTATATTTAGGTAAAAATCTAAAGGATTCGAAATCATCATTTCAAAAAGATATCTACACTTCCATATTTATTGCAACATTATTTACCATAGCCAATATATGAAACCAACCTATGTGTTTATGAATGGATAAAGAAATTCTGTATAAATGTACACAATAAATACTATTCTGTCTTAATTAAAAGGAAAATTCTGTCATTCGAGAGCAACATGGATGAACCTGGAGGACATAATGCTAAGTGAAAGGCAGCACATAAAGACAATCCAGGCCCACAAAGACAATTATTGCATGTTCTCACTTACAAGTGGAATCTAAAGGAATTAAACTCATAGAAGCAGAGAGTATAATTATGGTTACCAGAGGCTGGGACTGGGGGGAATCAGGAGACATTGGTCAAAGAATACGATGCTTTAGTTAGGAAGAATAAGTGATGAGCATTTGAGGTGATGGTTATGTTAATAAGCTTGATTCATTAATCCCACATTGTATACATATAATAGCATGACATTGTACCCCATACATATATACAATGATAGTTGACAATATTCCGAAAGAAATAATTCTTATAAATTATAAAATAATAAATTATGAAACCATTTCTTATATATTACATGCTTCAAGTTTGACAAAAATACCTATGTTCTTCATGTGGCTTGTTTGACCATGTTTTGTATATGAGTATTGAATAAAGAAATAAGAGTTATTGTAATTTTTTTTTTTTTTTTTGAGACAGAGTTTCACTCTTGTTGCCCAGGCTGGAGTGCAATGGCGCAATTTCGGTTCACTACAGCCTCTGCCTCCTGGGTTCAATAATTCTCCTGCCCCAGCCTCCCTAATACCTGGGATTACAGGCATGCATCACCACACCCAGCTAATTTTTGTATTTTTAGTACATGTGGTTTTACCATGTTGGTCAAGCTGGTCTTGAACTCTGACCGCAGGTAATCTACTCCCTTGACCTCCTAAAGTGCTGGGATTACAGGCATGAGCCACCCTGCCTGACCGTGGAGTAACTATAATTTTAACAAAGATACTTAATTTTGCATTTTAAAGAAAGAATATACATCTATTCAAAATGACAGATATAAAATGACCTTTAAAAATGACATTTTTGGATTCTGGGATTTATAGAGATGATAGTGGAATGACATCCTATTGGTAACAAGGTTTTGGAGGGAAATATCAGCACAGACTCTGCTGTACATTTAATTATCAGATCAAGATGAGGTGAAATTAAGGAATGTAGGCACATACAAATGCTAAACAAGATTTCTGTTGACTGTAGGTAAATACTTCAGCTTTGTGACAATATTATTAAAGATACAGAATCATAAACTCATGAGAACATATTTACTTGAAATTGCTTTTACATATTTTTAACTAAATATAGATATTTAAAGATATATTTCTTTCCATAATTAAAATAATAACCAAATATGGTTCAGTGTTATGGATTTGGCTGTGAAATGTACTCACTGTTTCAACTCCCAGATTATGATTAAGCAGAATCTGAGCAGATAAGCTGCTCTCAGGAATTAAATTGCATATGTTCAACTATAAATTCTGCTACTTAAAAACCATATAACACTGAGAAAAATATACAACATCTTTTCCTCCTTTGACAGGTAGTATGAGAGTTGAAGCATAAGTTAATACAAATGCTTACAACAGTGACTGACACAGAGCAGGCACTCAAAATGTGGAGAATATTTCTACTATAACTTATTCAGTGGCAATAGAAAACTCATTACATCTCTCTGAGAAACATATTTTAGTTTTGTTTTGCTTTCTGATTTAAAACTTTACCCAAGAGTGG